GTGGAAGCGGCAAAGGCACTGGGGGATAGAGTTCCAGAGCCTCGGGGCTGAGAGACTGAAGGCCCGGCCACAGATGGTAGGGCGGTTGGGGCGAGGGATGTGGAGCAGACCGGAGCCAGAGGAACGGAGGGTACGGGCAGGTAGGTAGGGGGATAGTAAGTCGGAGAGGTAGGAGGGAGCGAGGCCGTGAATGGCCTTGTAGGTGAGGATGAGGATCTTGAATTCGATCCTCTGGGGGATGGGGAGCCAGTGGAGGCGAGCGAGGGTGGGAGTGATGTGGTCCAAATCTTTGTTTAACAGGATGTCCTTCAAATACGCCAATAAATATCAAGCAAAGTTGGGCCAATAAATGCTTCAGTTAATTGTTATCGCTTTCGGTGTGGCCATAATTGCACAGGGCGAGTGGGTCTCTACAAACGTGCAATTTAATTAAACGAAGATGAAATGTAATACATCAGTCATACACAGATATCCATTTCCCTTCTGCTTGTTGGTCAGTTAATTAGAAAAGACCTGAGATTTTCTCAGAATCCATTTTCCAAAACGTATCTTAGCATCTTTCCAAAGGACATAATAATAATAATAATAATCCTTGCATTTGATATAGCACCTTATCATGTAAGTGAGACATATCAAAGCGCTTCACAGAGTATATTGTAAAGAGAATTGACTGTGTAATTTGTGGGTGAAACATCTTTGAATGCGGGACAGATTGGAGGTGGGTCGTGATGAGTGGTGGGTGGGTGGGGGGTTGGGGGTAAGGGGTCTCCTTTATCCGTCCTCTTCAATTTCAGGTCAAGGGTTCGTGAGGGTTCACAAATCTTTAGCTCAGACACGTCGATCGGCGAGGACAGAGTAGCTTGAATGAATGCTGCGACATCAGGACATCTATCGTGTGCAGTGTCCTTAACTACAGCTGGTGCACTTTAACAGGTGGCAGGCAGTACAATCTTGGGCGTGGTGTAAACAATATACTACATATCAAATAATAATCCTTGCATTTGATACAGTGCCTTATCATGATGTTGAGATATCGCAAAGCGTGTCAGAGAATATACTGTAAAACAAAATTGATTGTGGGCGAAACCCGGCAGCCAATTGCGCACAGCAGTGTCCTGCAAACAGTGGTGGATTGAGCCCATTATGGAAATGATACAAATATGGAAGGATATTGGTGGTGTGGGGGAGGGTGTGTGTGATAGGACAGGGGCGTGGCACTGAATGGATCACTCTTTCAGAGACATTATCAAACGTATGCTGGTTTTCTCCTGCTGTGTGTAATTTAACATGCTGCGTCACCCCTCCGACCACTCGGTGATAAGAAGTGTGATTTGTCAGGAGCAGGCTGAGCCTTACAATCGCCATAATGTCTCTCCGGCTTGGAGCTGGATCAATGGCAAAGGTGTGGTTATTCACTCCCCCACCACCACTGCACAATTTTTTTTTGGACAGCCAGGTTTCTGTCTGACACATGCGGAAACCCATCACCATGCTTAAGAGTTTAAGCTACAGGAGCTGAGAGGGAGGATTCCCTGTCCCCAACCCCAGCCACAGGTCTGGCCTCCCAAGTCCTGCCGATGAGCCAGTCTTTTTCATTTATATTATACATTTTTAAAAATGTATAATTTTTTCCATTGCATGAGAGTGAGGGGTGGGGGGGGAGGGGGGAGGCTGCCAGTGTGTGTGTGTGTGTTTCAGTCCCACTATTAAATAGAGAAATAAATAGTGAAATACATGAACAGGGAAATAATCCTTAGATTTGTTACAAAACAAAGAATGGTGCAGCCAAGCCAGGGATCAAGCATATTTTTAATGATTTTTAAAAAATATAAACGAGGCAATACTGCAGGTGTGATTTGGAGGCAGAGAGGGAAGGAGGGAGGGGGAAGAAGAAAGAGGGTATTGTGAAAACAGCCACCAGTATTTTTAAAAAAATAAAACAACATAGAAAACTTCCACGACAGGTGCTTGCATTGTGGCCTCAGCTAAAACAAGGCGAATGGATGTTTTAACTGCAATGTATACGTGCAGCCAGACATCCACTGTGCTTATTGCATTCATCAGTCTTTTGTGTGGAGGGGAGAGAGAGACAGACAGAGAATAAAATAAGGGAATCATCTTTTTATTGGGTACAAACCTGAAAAAGATTAACTGAGCTCAGTCTCTCCCCCCCCACCCCCAGGGCTGCTAAAACATGTGTCTTGTTTCTTTGTTCAACCAGAGGCAGAGAAATGAACATTACAGCTCTGAATACAGTTCTTTCTTTCTTTCTGTCTCTCTCTCTCTGCCTCTCCATCTCTTTCTCCTTCTCTGTCTCTCTCCCTTCAGTCTCCCTCATCACCTGCCTCTCCTCTCTCTCCCTCATTCTCTAGTCTCTTCAAGTGAGAATATTTGGCTCAGCCTTTCATTCTCACACACATACACACACAGACTTTCTCTCCAGGGCTAAATAGGGAAAACCCTATGAACAGCTGCTGTGAGTTGGGTCTGTCTCAAAGCACAACACTTGGGTGACATCCGATCCCTGTTAACCTAACCTAAATCCACAAATAGGGAGGGGGTGCAGAGAGAGAGAGAGAGGGAAGGAGGAAAAAGAGAGGAGAGAAAGAAGAGAGGCAGAGGGAGGGAGGGGGGAAAGACAAAGAGAAAAGAGAGGGACAGAGACAGAGAGGAGTGATATGTGTGTAGTGCAGAGGGAGAGGGGGATGCAAAGGAGAAGAGGAGGGATGTGGAGAGAGAGAGGGAGGGAAGGTGTGGAGAGAAAGAGAGCAACCAGAGAGAGCACTGTACTGGGTGTATGTAGGGAGTGGATATGGATTATAAACCGATAGGAGGGAGGGGGGGATCTCTTCTCATAGTTATCCACACAGAAACATACCCTTAGTGTGTGTGTGTGTGTGTGTGTGCAGTGCTGACCACACCATCAGCATCTTTGAGACCACAGAAGAGAGAGGAGAGGGAAGGAGGAGAGAGGGAGAGGGAGGAAGAGAGGGAGAGGGAGAGGGAGGGAGGGAGGAGAGAGGGAGGGAGGAGAGAGGGAGAGAGGAGGGGGAGGGAAGAGGAGGGAGAGAGAGGAGAGGGAGGAGGAGAGGGAGGGAGGGAGGAGAGGGAGGGAGAGAGGGAGGGAGGGAGAGAGGAGAGGGAGGGAGGAGAGAGGAGAGGGAGAGAGGAGAGGGAGGGAGAGAGGGAGGAGAGGGAGGGAGAGAGGGAGGGAGAGGGAGAGGAGGAGGAGAGGAGAGAGAGGAGAGAGGGAGGGAGAGAGGAGAGGGAGGGAGGGAGGGAGAGGAGAGGGAGGGAGGGAGGGAGAGAGGAGAGGGAGGGAGGGAGAGAGGAGAGGGAGGGAGGGAGGAGGGAGGGAGGGAGAGAGGAGAGGGAGGGAGGGAGTGAAAAGCACCTTTACTGGGACTCGCTTTCCAAGGCGCTGCCAATTGTGCAAAGGTCCCCTTTAAAGATAGATATCTCTTAATCTTCTGCAGCAGCGCTGGTCTAACTCTCTGGGCGGTGTTGATAGAGACACGTTGCACAGCCAGAGGTTTAAAGGCAGAGCATCGCTAACCCCTGCACCCAGTCTGTCTGTCTGTCTCTCTCACACACTCACACACACTCACACACACAGCCCTCCCAATGCTACACACTGCTATCCCCCACCATCAAGGAATAAATCAATCAATATGTACACCAGTAAGACTTAAGCCACCACTGAGGTCAGGGGGGGCTGATCTGCTTGTTTTATAGAGAACATGATGTGTGTGACATATTGAATGTGTCAGACATCACATCCTACACACAGGATTTTGCATAGATCTGGGTATATTTCCAGGGTTTTGGGGGTTTATTTTGTAAAGGTTTTCTCCCTCTTTTCCCCTCTCTGCTGTATTTTACACACACACACACACACACACACACACACACACTGTACTGGGGATAAATAACAAAAACTGAGAGGTGCAGAGAGAGAGACACACGTACACAGGAGAGAGGGAAGGGGGACAAAGAGAGGAGAGAAAAGAGAGAGACAGAGAGGAGAGAGAGACAGGGAGGAGAGAGAGAAGAGACAGAGAGAGACAGGGAGGAGAGAGAGAAGAGAGAGAGAAGGGAGAGAGAGACAGAGAGAGAGAAGAGACAGAGAGAGACAGAGAGAGAGAGAAGAGACAGAGAGAGACAGAGAGAGAGAAGAGACAGAGAGAGACAGGGAGGAGAGAGAGAAGAGAGAGAGAAGGGAGAGAGACAGAGAGAGAGAAGAGACAGAGAGAGACAGAGGAGAGAGAGACAGAGAGGAGAGAGAGAAGAGACAGAGGGGAGAGAGGGAAGAGAGAGAGACAGAGAGGAGAGAGAGACAGAGAGGAGAGAGAGAAGAGACAGAGGGGAGAGAGGGAAGAGAGAGAGACAGAGAGGAGAGAGAGACAGAGAGGAGAGAGAGAAGAGACAGAGGGGAGAGAGGGAAGAGAGAGAGACAGAGAGGAGAGAGAGACAGAGAGGAGAGAGAGAAGAGACAGAGGGGAGAGAGGGAAGAGAGAGAGACAGAGAGGAGAGAGAGACAGAGAGGAGAGAGACAGAGAGAGGAGAGAGACAGAGAGAGGAGAGAGACAGAGAGGAGAGAGAGACAGAGAGAGGAGAGAGAGACAGAGAGGAGAGAGAGAGAGAGAGGAGAGAGAGACAGAGAGGAGAGAGAGACAGAGAGAGGAGAGAGAGACAGAGAGGAGAGAGAGACAGAGAGAGGAGAGAGAGACAAAGCGGAGAGAAAAGAGAGAAGGGGACGAGAGAGGGAAGAGAGAGCCAGAGACGGAGGGCAGAGGGGGGAGAACAGGGAGATCGGTGCTGACACAGAGTGCGGTCGAAGTCGGACCAAGTGGTTCTGACAGTGCATTTAAGACAACAGAGAGAGCGGCCGCCGCGGCCCCGACCCCGGGGCACAGCCCCGAGAGAGAGAGCAAGTCATCATCTTTCTCAAAACAAAACACACAAGAAGAGGGAATCGGGTGAAATCCCAGTGTACTTACACGACTAGTCTAGAGATGATCCATGAGACCATGGCGGTTTAAAGAAGGATTTGTTTGTTTGAGAGCGAAGGAGGAGTTGATCTGCTTTAACTGACCCAGGACTCAACCATGTGTCAGCCTCGTCACAGCTCCAACCAACACCAATGCTGGAGGGGGACAGGGATGGGGGGTGGAGGGGGACAGGGAGGGGTGGAGGGGGACAGGGATGGGGGGTGGAGGGGGACAGGGATGGGGGGGTGGAGGGGACAGGGATGGGGGTGGGGGGGGACAGGGATGGGGGGTGGGGGGGACAGGGATGGGGGGGGTGGAGGGGACAGGGATGGGGGGGTGGAGGGGGACAGGGATGGGGGGGGTGGAGGGGGACAGGGATGGGGGGGGAGGGGGACAGGGATGGGGGGGGGAGGGGGACAGGGATGGGGGGTGGAGGGGGACAGGGATGGGGGGTGGAGGGGACAGGGATGGGGGGGGGGGACAGGGGGGGGGTGGGGACAGGGATGGGGGGGGGTGGGGGGACAGGGATGGGGGGGGGAGGGGAGGGGGACAGGGATGGGGGGGGTGGAGGGGGACAGGGATGGGGGGGTGGAGGGGACAGGGATGGGGGGGGTAGGGGGACAGGGATGGGGGGGGTGGAGGGGGACAGGGATGGGGGGGGTGGAGGGGACAGGGATGGGGGGGTGGGAGGGGACAGGATGGGGGGTGGAGGGGGACAGGGAGGGGGGGTGGAGGGGACAGGGATGGGGGGGGTGGAGGGGACAGGGATGGGGGGGTGGAGGGGGACAGGGATGGGGGGGTGGAGGGGACAGGGATGGGGGGGGGGTTGGGCGGGTGGGTGGGGGGTGGGTGCAAATTGCAAGGGAGCAATCCATTGTCCAACCCAAGTAATATTTTATTTTTATATATACGTCGATTTTATGTTCTTCAGTCGGTGTATATCTTAGTCGATTCGGCGGTCGCTTTCGGGGAGTAATAGTCCCTTCCAACGTGATAATAGTTTGGCGACTCGATCCTCGAGTGTCTGCGGGACACTGCCGTGCGCAATTGGCTGCCGCGTTTCGCCCGCAAAATACACTGTCAATCTTCTTTGCAGTAAATCGCTTCAAGGCGTCTCAACAGCGTGATTCCACTGGCTCCCTGTCCTTCAGAGGATCCAGTTCAAGGTCCTGGTCCTCACCTACAAAGCCCTCCATGGCCTCGGCCCCACCCTACCTCTGCGACCTCCTAACCCACTACCAACCTGTCCACTCCCTCTGCTCAGCCGGCTCTGGCCTGCTCCATGTCCCCCGATCCCACCCGCACCACCATTGGTGGGAGAGCCTTCAGCCACTCTGCCCCCAAACTCTGGAATTCCATCCCCCAGTCACTCCGCCTCACCCCCTCCTTAGCCTCCTTCAAGTCCCACCTCAAAACCTTCCTCTTCGACCCTGTCTTCGGCCACCCCCCTTTTCCTCCCCTCCCTTCTCCCACCCTGACCCCAGCTCGGGTCTGAAATGCTGTACACTGTCCAGCGCCTTGGGACGTCCTCCGGACGTGAAAGGCGCTATACAAATGTAATCTTGTTGTTGTTGATAAGGTGCTATATCAAATGCAAGGATTAACGTTATATAAAAATGAGTGGCACTCAAGAGAAATTTTCTATTTCAGGCATTACACTTGCTCTGTGTTGACAATCAAAATGCCCCCTATGATATGGTCATCAAAATTGTTGTTAGTGTGTCGCTGTACATTAACCATAATAATAATTCTCATTTGTTACAGCAAGTGAATTGACTGGGTAATTTGCGGGTGAAACGCGGCAGCAGTTTGCTCCCTGCAATGTCCCACAAACAGCTATGAAGTGAATGACCAACTTTATTTGGGGGATTTGATGGCCAGGACACCAGAGAAACTCCCATCTCTCTTCGTATACTGTCAACTGGTACATGGTGCCCACTAAAGCACCATTTTCTGAGCATTAATCAAGCCTGCATAACTCAAATCAACTATTTCTTTCAGTACATTTCTGTGGGGGAGGGGGAGTTATTGATTCTGCTCCGCGGCAAACATTTAGCCAAACTCAAAGACGGGGGTCGTGATGGATGAGTAATGTTTTGTGCTTGTTCGAGCTATTCAGCAAATCTGCCCCCACTCTTGGGAACACCATCCCTGAGACCCTTCGCCTCGCCCCTTCCCTCGTCTCCTTTAAGGTCCGTCCGTCTCAAGAGCTTCCTCTTTGATTGCACCTTCTGTCGTCTTCCCCACTTACTCCCATCCCTCTCGGCCCCACCCATCCCGAATTCTATCTCCAGTTCGGGGGCAAACCCACGACTATCCAATGCCTTAGGATGTCCTCCTGACATTAAATGCGCTTTATAAATGTAAATTTGTATTATATTGTAAATGGTCCTACCTGTACTAGCTGGACAAGCAGTGGGAAAGCTTGCCAGCAGCAATATCAATGGCAAGCTATGCGGTTTAGCTGATTAGACTCCAGCAGTTACCCCAACCCATACTCTGGGTCCCCAAGCCTTGGCTCTTGCCAAGCTGCACCTAAAACTTTCCATAATTAGGCAAACAGGATGCATCCCTCCAGGGAGAGAGTGCACATTCCATTACAACAGTCTATCTCTGGGATTTCCATGTGTGGGTGGGATGCATAGAATTCACAGTTTGGTTCGGATATTGTTAAGCACGGTGACGGGTTTCCACATGGGTCAGAAAAAATTGTAAATAGGCCAAAGAGCCTTCTTTATCTGAACATTTTGTGATCTTGTGCATTTTTGATGCACATAACATTGCTATCTATAGTATTACAATTTGTTATTCAGTATAAATTTACTGCACAATCCACTATTCCGCTGTTCTATGTTGTTATATTTATCTTTTGCAAAGAGTACATGGACTTCCAGTAAAACACAGTTTTTTTTGTTTGCCTGGGTCATGAGTCTCACGACCTACCAAGTGAAGTCAGAACGCAAATGCACAACAATGTAGAGGATGAGCCATATATAGGGGAAGAAATCATTTGCCTAATAATAATCCTTGTATTTGATATACAACAACAACTTGCATTTATATAGCGCTCCTCACGCAAGGTCCTAGAGTGCTTGACAGTGGGAGAGCACGAGATAGCGCCTTATTACTTCATCTAGACATCTCAAAGCGCTTCATAGGATATAATGAAAAGTGGTTTTGAGCGTGTATTTTCTGGGCCAAACACTGCAGCCAGTTTGCACACAGCAGTGTTCCATAAATACCATAGAGTGAGTGACCAATTTTATTTGGGGGATTGTTGCTCTGACCACCAGGAGAAAATCTCTTCTCTTTTCAAACAATGCCATGGGATCTTCAAAGCCCACCTGATCAGACAGACAGGATCTCAGTTTAACATCTCATCTGAAGGACAGAACCTCTGACAATGCAATATACCCCCAGCACTGCATTGGAGTGTAAGCTTAGACTATATTAAAAGGACAATATTGAGCCAAAATAGTGGGGTAATCTACCACTTTATAAATTACTGGTGCGACCTCACTTGGAATACTGTGTGCAGTTCTGGTCACTGCAATATAAAAAGGATATTCAGCGGGCTCCGGCCTGCTCCATGTCTCCTGCCCGACCTGCCCTACCATCGGTGGCCGGACTTTCAGCCTCTCTGCCCCCACACTCTGGAACTCCATCCCACAGTCCCTTTGCCTCGCTTCCTCCCTTGCCTCCTTCAACACTATTTCAATGAGCGAGTAGTAAACTTATGGAACAGACTTATGGAAACAGAAAATGTCATTTGTTTCAAGAACAAATTAGATAGATTTCCACTAGAAAATAATATCTCAGGATACATTATATAGTTTTGGATATGACAGGTCAAGCGATTGCCAGGATGGTGGAAAGCAAACTAGATGGACCTTGGTCTTCGTCTGCCTAGCAAATTCTTATGTTCTTATGTGACTCATACCATGGCTGCTTGTGGGACATTGTTGTGTGCAATGGGCTACTGCATTTACCTCCAAATACACAGACACTCCACTTTACAGTAAATCCTGTGAAGTGTTTTGAGCCATCTTACCGATGTGATAAGGCGCTTTATTAACGCAAGGAGAATTAATATCCAGATCTGTGAATGCGTTTTGGGATGTCTTCCCGACATGAAAGCCGCTGTATAAATATAAACTGTATTGTAACCAAATACTCCTGGAACAAGCATCAGTTGCAATGATGTAAGGGAAATCAACATGGAATTGGAGAATGTTGCAGCACAGAAACAGGCCAGTTAGCCCATCAAGTCTGCTCTGATGTTTTTTCTCCACTGTAATCTAACCTAATCCATCGCAGCCCCCATACCCATAGAATCATAGAAATGTACATTACAGAGTATTTCTTAATTGCATGGTAACCAATGTGTTTTTAATATAATATAGTCAAGTATAATGGTTATACTTTGATGTGATCATTGTATTCTAGTGTTGCTTATTGGATCATTTATTTATCTTTGTATTGTATGAGTGATATTACCTGTTGTGTATTGAAATAAAGCATTCAAAGGTGTGTCACGCCATATTTAGTATTTGTCAAGTCTCTACTTCGAACCCAGGATTTATTTTTCTCAACAACCCTCTACATGCTCCCCCTTGGTGACATCATCCGCTGACATGAGATAAATTTCCACATATATGTGGATGACACCCAACTCTATCTCTCTGCCTCCACCCTCAACTCCAGGACTATTGGCGTCCTGACCAACTGCCTGTCTGACATCAAGTCTTGGATGAGGGACAACTTTCTCCAACTGAACGTCAGCAAGTCCGAGGTCCTCCTGATTGGCTCGCACGAACGCCTCCGCACCTCAGTCGCTGGCAACATCTGCCTCCACGGGTGCACACTCAACCTCACTAAACTAGTCAGGAACCTGGGTGTTTTGTTTGACCCTGAACTGTCCTTTCTCCCCCACATCCGCGCCATGACCGGCACTGCCTACCACCACCTCCGCAACATTGCCAGACTCTGCCACTGCCTCACCCCTCAGGCTGCCGAAACCCTTATCCACGCATTCGTCACATCAAGGCTCGATTATGGAAATTCCCTCCTCATCGGCCTTCCCAACTCTTCCCTTCACAAGCTGCAGATCATCC